TGAGTTATTTCTACACATCGACCTGCATCTGGCCAATCCACCACCTCTCATTGTTCATGCCGTTACAAAAAAAATAAAAAATAAGTCACTGGGGATATGCCCGGTATGCCCGATGGCCAGTCCAGCGATGTTAACCTGCAACCAAATCTGCAGCTCCATACAGCAATGTTACGACTTAGATTATATCTTATAACTGTTATGTTAGCTGCCCTCAGTAGCATACTGTCTGAAATATTCGACGGCTGCAACAATTCTTTAAGTGTTATTTTTTCCTTGGTATTCTAATTTCACCGAAGTTTACTAAACTCAACAAACTTAATATTACTTACCGGGACATTTATTCTGTCCTCATTTTCTTTCACCGAAAAATTGTTTCCTGCAGTGCCTCTTTCGTGCTTGGCTCTCCTACCTTTGCTAACGTGATGCACATAGCGAAGAAGCCGATGCTGCATTCACTTACACTCGGATATCTGAGCTTCACCGTGAAAACATAATTGTACATTTGATATTTGATTGAATTTTATTGTTTTGCCTTTGGGGTGGCCAGTCTGGTTGGGGGGGGCACAGGCCACCCACTGGACACGCCACTGCCCCCGCGGTCTTTGGCTACTGAGGTTAAACATGATATATAACTCACTTAGTTAATAATGTTATTGTTTGGCTTTTTTCAGTGTTTTATTTGTTCCTTAGTAAATCGGTTTGGCTGAGATCAAAGTTCTAGTTTTCAGAACAGATATTTTTATTTTTATCTTTATTCTTATTGATATCTTGTCTTTTTTAATCCTTATTTATCTTGTTCCTTCAACCCTACCTAACTTGGCATTTGTGTATGGACAGCAAAGGAAGAATAAACGTCAAACAAAAAACTGATGATCAGAAGCGTGAGATGGTCGAGAATTTACTCCAGTGTGCTGTTACATTTTAGATAGCAAGGAGCAGACAGCTGAGTTTATTAAATTCCAGCAAGAGACAATCTGGAAATTAACTATCATCTTGTCGTTATTTTTAGTTAGCACATACCTTAAATACTTAAAGCTGTAAGCTAATGATAGTTATATAAGAGCAGACGCATTCTGGTACAATAAGCTGTACGTTTTACGTCCAATGGATGCATGATCTTATTAGTCGACTAATCGTAAAAAATAAACAGTGACTAGTTGACTATCAAATAATCATTTGTGGCAGCCCTAATCCAGAGCACTCCACCCAACCCCCACACCTTTGTCGCCACCATTGCCACTATGTGCCCCCTTTACATTTCTGTCTGCCCCCTCATATATGCCTGTCTACAACCGGCCCAGCTTCACTTACTTATTTTTGTACGTATTTATTTATCTTTCATCATTTTTATCCTTATTTTTATTTTTTATCTTTATTCTTATTGATATCTTGTCTTTTTTTAATCCTTATTTATCTTGTTCCTTCAACCCTACCTAACTTGGCATTTGTGTATGGACAGCAAAGGAAGAATTTCAGTGCACAGAGAAATGCTAGTTCTTCTGTACACATGACAATAAACACTTTGTGTTAGCTTTGCGCTCGCAGGACTCGGTGGTTCAGAGAGTTATTCCCGTGAACAAAGCAATACAATCAGAGATCGACTGGTTTTTCAAGGGAAGCCCGCTGGACCAGGATCTTGGAGCTGGAAACTCCTCACCTGGTCCCAGCTAACTCCAACTTCAGCCTTCTCTTGCAGCATTTTTATTCAGTGAACAAAGTCACAAAACACACTCTATTGTGTTGTGTAAACTAAGGCACTGTGTGTGTATGCATCTGTGAGCACGTGTGTGTGTATGTATATGTGACTTCCTGGTGATCACAAAAGGGTAATCTCTCCTCACCTTTGTGTATGGCTAGACTCATTTAACAGTCCACCATATACAAACACAGGTGAGCCCATAAAGGGCAGGAAGTAAGCATTCCTTACTAGACAAAGAAACCAGATTCTTCATAACGAATGTGTCTGCAGTTAAACACTATAACCTCCCCCACCATTCAACAAGCAGCGGAGGAGAATAGAAACAAAAGAATGCCTTTGGTCATGCAGTTTACACAAGGTCCACAACTTTAAGCACAATAATGACAACATTTAACAATTTACCTCAACACTTTGAATCTTGAATCTTCCAGGACACACCGTCACAGATGGTGTGGTCAGTGAAGATGGTCACCTGCAGGTTCATTGCATCTCCAACCCACTGCCACTGTACTTAAAGGAAGTTAAAGAATTTCTTCTGCACCTACATTTGGATCACCTCGATCCATGACAGTCATTCAAGCAGTAATGCGTGGACTGGAAACAAGCATCCTTAAAATATTACAACATTCCAGCTCCTGTGTTTGAATGTAAAACAAATGTGTTGTTTGATCTGGAGACTGCACTTGTGACTGAACAATAAATACATCTTGTTTTGATTATATAAGTAATGTAAGTATAAATCAAATCAAAGTTGTGGAAAGCCTAAACTTAGTTACACAGTAATTAAATCTGAGACTTTGTTTCATTGTAAGATTATAACAATGATGGTAATATAATTGTTTGTTGTTCAGCTGAACAGTGTCCAGTATGTTGGCTCATTTTTTTTGCATTAGAAAATAAAAGTTGGGTTGATTTTAAAGCCATTACAAGAAGTGTTGTTAATTATTCTTTTTTAATCATATTTGCATACAGTATTATATTAATATAAGTTACCACCATTTTTTTAGCCGAGCTTGAAATGTCTGTCAGTGGATAAACAATCAGTATTGCACAGTCAGAAATATCAAGTTATACTTAGGACAACTTATTCATTGCAGGTATACAGTAATACCTAACTAGTCATCTTAAGTAAACTTTACTCACTTTGAGTTCTGGGAACTAATTAGATTTTACAGTGTGGAAGGAGGTTTTCACTCAAAATGTCATGACACATGACCCCATTCATTCTTTCCTTTACACGGATCAGTCGTCCTGGTCTACAGTTTTGTTTCTGGTGTCCTTTGACAGCTCTTTGGTCTTGCCATAGTGGAGTTTGGAGTGTGACTGTTTGAGGTTGTGGACAGGTGTCCTTTATACTGATAACAAGTTCAAACAGGTGCCATTAATACAGGTAATGAGTTGAGGACAGAGGAGCCTCTTACAAAAGTTACAGGTCTGTGAGAGCCAGAAATCTTGCTTGTTTGTATGTGACAAAATACTTATATTCCACCATAATTTGCAAATAAACTCTTTAAAAATCAGACAATGTGATTTTCTGGACTTTTTTCTCTTTTTGCCTCTCATAGTAGAGGTGTACCTATGATGAAAATTACAGCCCTCTCTCATCTTTTTAAGTGGGAGAATTCACTCAGTTGGTGGCTGACTAAATACTTTTTTTGCCCCTCTGGATCAGGGGAGTTAGCCACACTCTGGTGAGATATTTGAACTTCACAGATGAATTTAATGGATCAAACACTATTACTGGCAGAGGGGCCTCAGCAGTAAAGGCCCTCCATCAGGCCCACAGGCCCAGTTCTTTGTTTCTCAGTGTAAATGGTTTAAATGCTGAGACGTTTGGCTGAATTTCAGTTTTAAAACAGTTTAAATGAGGTGACAGCTGCAGGTTATTTTTATTTCTTCCTTTCAGTTTAAGACACATTAAGAAGTTCCTCTTTTTCTCTGTGGTCACTCCTCGGAGCTGGTAGGACAAAAATGTGCAAATCATGATTGTATTGACACTAAAGATATGAAACGTGTTGTGAAGGACAGTTTGACACCTCAGCTGTGAGTGAGCTGTTTCCACATTAAAAACAGAAGTGACCGTCACGATAAGATCAGCTCTGTGTCTGCAAAGACTGTCTGTCTTGGAGGTGTGATGTTTGTCTTTATTCTGTTTGTTCCTGTTTCCATTACAGCTTATTGATGCTTACACTTTAAGGCTCCTCTGACTGAGCACACACTGTTGTTGGCTAACCTCAACAGCATAGAATAAACGATAATAAATAAATCATTCTCTCATCAGCCATAGTTCACACTCCTGAATCATTTCAATTCTGTTTCTGTGACTCTGATTCTCTGTATCATTACAGAGCAGAAGTATTTGCTCTGTAATGTTTGAATGTTTTATTTTTGCTCAAAGCAGTTAAAGCAGAAAGCATCACAGAAACAAGTCACTGAGACAATCTGACTGTTCTTGCTTCAGCACAATCACTTAGAGGATCCATCAGGTCAGAAGTGATGTTCAGTGGTGAAATCAGCAGTGACATCATCCCGTACAGCAGGCTGGCTCGTTTCCATGGAAACGACAGGTGTGTTACCTGTGGGCAGGGTTAAAACATAAGGACGGAGCACTAAAGTGAGTGATCAGAGAAAGTTTGTTCATAACTACCTGAGCTGGTGGAGACAATCGACAGTAGCAGAGCAGTGCAGACCACGTATGGACAGAAGACCACCAGGTGGGAGACGAGTCTGAGCACTGACATAGAGGGAGGGGGAGAGAGAGGAGGATACATGGAGGGAGCAGGACAAGAGGAGGAGGAGTCTGATTTAATACCAAAGGATAAGGAAGGAGGAGAGGAGGTTGTGGTGGTGGGAGGAAGAGGAGGATCTGTGGGAGAAATGATAAAGATGATCCACACAGTGATCAGTTTGTATTCAAGTCATGTGCATGTCTTTAAACAGGAAGTGATGTCAGTCTCCTGACCTCTGACCCTCAATCTGCTCTGAGGAGAGTGTGGATGGAGATCGGTAGTACATGAATAGAGACCTTCATCAGCCTGCTTGACTTTAGACAGAACCAGCTCTCCTTCAGGTCTAGATCCAAGTTTAACATCATCTCGGGAGAAATAGGATTTTCTTCTTGAACCATCTCTGGGTTTACAAGACAGAGTGACATCACTTCCTGTCATCACAGGAAGTGCAGGGATCTCCAGGATCACTCCTTTTTCTGTTCAACAGAGACACAAACAGAGTGACACAGAGTTCCACCAACAGAGACACAGCTGGAACATCTGTTTGTACCTATAACACTGATGGAGACTTTATCACTCTGCTGTCCAGATGAGTCCTCAAAGAAGTAACTTTCATTAGAGGAGATGGAGAGATACAGACGACAGAAGGAACTGTTAACCTTCTCAAAGTCTGTAGCAGCAGCTCCACAGTCCTCAGTGAGTCCTCCTTTGGTCCTCCTCACTGTCCATCCATCATCAACACAACTCAGAGACACTGAAGAAGATCCAGTGAAGAACTGCTGAAGGTTTGGACTGACAGACAGAGACACTGGAGGACACACACACACACACACACACACACACACAGAATAAATGTATTTGTGTTCTTGTTGGAGTCTCACTGATTTTTTTCACTCCATCAACTCACCTGCAGAAACAGTTGTCAGTGTAGACAGCAGCAGCACACACGCGCCTGTAACAGGAGGACAGAGGTCACTAAAAGTCATTAGAAAACCCAACAATCACATGGTAAATGGTAAATGGCCTGTATTTATATAGCGCTTTACTAGTCCCTAAGGACCCCAAAGCGCTTTACATATCCAGTCATCCACCCATTCACACACACATTCACACACTGGTGATGGCAGCTACATTGTAGCCACAGCCACCCTGGGGCGCACTGACAGAGGCGAGGCTGCCGGACACTGGCGCTACCGGGCCCTCTGACCACCACCAGTAGGCAACGGGTGAAGTGTCTTGCCCAAGGACACAACGACCGAGACTGTCCAAGCCGGGGCTCGAACTGGCAATCTTCCGATTACATTGCGAACTCTCAACTCTTGAGCCAAGATCGCCCCATGACCAAAGATGAATAATAACAAATTGTTCAATGCACAGAGGTGTATAAACACACAGTGACTGAAGAAGAAACACTCAATGCATCATGGCAAACCCCCAGCAGCCTACATCTATTGCAACATAACTAAAGGAGGATTCAGGGTCACCTGATCCAAAAGGAAAGTTTTAAGCCTAATCTTAAAAGTAGAGATAGAGTTTGTCTCACGAATCCAAACTGGGAGCTGGTTCCATATAACAGGGGCCTGAAAACTGAAGGCTCTCCCTTCCATTCTACTTTTAAATTTCCTCTAGAACTGAGCTTCCAGTATAGTGGCAACATAAGATATAATGTAAGTACTGAAATTTGGATGGACTGCAAAATATCATCAACAGGGATAAACTGTTAAGCAAAATAAAGAGAGAAAAACCGATGAAGAAGGTACCTGGGGAATACAGCAAGCTGCCCATACCAGAGGCCTTGGAAACTGCCAAGCAATGACTCACAGCCTTGGCCAGCCGCTTGAAGAGGTACACCAGAGAGATTGAAGGCAGGAGAATGAACCAGCTGTTCTCTACAGAACCAGCCAAGGTGTACTCTCACTGGCAGGGGAACAATATGAGAACAACACCCCCATGGTCCTTATGTGGTTCACGCCTACTGACTAAAGAAGTTGACTGCACTCTACGAGCGTCTGGCAGCAGAGACGAACCAGCAACCACATGGAAGCTCCAGTCAGGCATCATAGCAGTTAAGTGAATGGGCAAATGGGTCAATACATGAGCAGACTGCAAGACTAGGCCGACCAACCTCTGCACTGCCTGGACTGATTACACCTGGATCCTGGAATGCCAAGAACTGTACAAGATCAATAGGAACCTAAGAGCCTTCATCAGGATCTCAATGGGGATGTGGTGTACAACACTAGAGGCCAACTTCAAGAACATAACACAGGTTGCCATCAAGTGCGGGATCAACCAAGGAGATGCTCTGTCCCACTGCTGTTCTGCCTTAACCCCCTCAGTGTGATCACTGACAAGACTGGCTACGGGTACCGACCATGGAATGGAACAGTTGTTAGCCACCTCCTGTACATCGATGACATCAAGCTGTATGACAAGAGTGAACAAGACATCGATTCACTCATCCACACCACTAGGATATACAGCAACGACATCGGAATGTTGTTCGGACTGGAGATGTGTAGTCGGAGGGAGGGACGAAGAGAGGGAAGGTAGTCAGATTCTGTTGCTTAAACTTAATTATGCAAATTCTCATGACCATTGATCAACAACCTCTGATCAATGCCCACTGATCAATAACCATGAGTACCATTCACAGAGAGTTGGGGAGTGGCTGCAATCACAGCATTGTAAGATAGTGACAGATGTACCCTTAGGCCCCCTCCTCAATTCAGAGATAGTCTTTCCCTTTTTACGTAAATAGCCTCTTGTGTCCTTGTCTAGTCTCGTGTATTTTTGTATTACTTTTTCCTGGAACACTCTCTCAAAGTCTGTTCTCTAAAACCTAAAAGAGGAATTATGGATTTGATACATAATTTGGATTACAAAAATTCCAAAAATGGCGGCGCGTGTAGACGCAGTGACCTCACGCTCTCCTGAAAATGCGGTGTTTTGTTTGTCAAGTAAGTGTCTTTCTGCAAGTGTTTCTCGCCAGTCCACGTCGGAATATGTGTACAGTCGTCAGGCTCTCTTACACATTCGGAGAAGCAAGATTTGCCAAGTTTTGAACACTAACGTTGAGATGCTATGGGAGATAGGACTTCTGCGACAGCCTGCTAGCTGGCCTAGCAACTCACCGGACTCGCCTGCTACCCCTCCCCGGGCAAGGAGGCGTCGAAAGCGGTGGGCTAGGACAAGGAAGCGGGGCAAGCACGGAGGTGTCCGAGTCAGGCTTGAGGCTAAGCCAACTCGCCCAGCCATACCATCGATCCTCTTGGCCAACGTACGATCTCTGGACAATAAAATGAACAACATACGACTTCTGAGATCAGCGAATCGCAAAGTAAGTGACTGTTGTGTGCTAGTTTTCACTGAGACATGGCTTAATGACAACATTCCGGACTCGGCCATGCAACTGGAGCAGTTATCATGCTACAGAGCCGACAGGGCTCTCGTAGACGGAGGCAAGACCCAAGGTGGCGGGGTCTGTGTTTACATCCGTGACGAGTGTTGTCGTGATGCCACTGTAGTACGCAAACACTGCTCATCACTGGCGGAGTTCATGATCGTGAAGTGTCGCCCTTTCTATTTGCCCAGGGAGGTAAGTTCGATCTTGTTGGTCGCTACTTATATACCTCCATTTAGCAACAACAGCGATAGAAATGCGGCGCTGAACGAACTGTATCAGGCCATCAGTGAGCAACAAACAGCACACCCAGACGGTTTCATCATCCTCGCAGGAGACTTTAATCATGCTGATGCTAAAACTGTTCTCCCAAAGTTTCATCAGCATGTACATTTTCCAACAAGGGGAGACAACATATTGGACTTGGTCTACACACAGGAAAATGGAGCATACAAAGCCATTCCCCTCCCCCATATCGGCACCTCTGATCACCTCACTGTTATGCTAATGCCAGCATACAGACAGAGAGTGAAGGTCATCAAACCTGTTATGAAAGAGGTAAGAGTGTGGCCACAGGAGGCCACCTCTGCTCTTCAAGACTGCTTTGGGTCAACTGATTGGGACATAGTCAAGGAAGAAGCCACCTACAATAACATCATAGACATCGAGGAGTACACAGACACGGTGAGCTCATACATCACCAAATGCATTGATGATGTAACACAAGTGAAAAGTATCACAACTCGAGCCAACCGGAAGCCATGGCTAACAGGAGATGTCCACAGGCTGCTGAAGGCCAGAGACAAGGCCTTCAGAGCTGGGGATGAAATAGGCCTGAGAACAGCGAGAGCCAACCTGTACCGTGGCATCAGGAAAGCGAAACAGGACTACACACACAAGATAACCTCCCACTTCAATGGTAGCAAGGACACAAGAAGCCTATGGCAAGCATCTAGGCTATTACAGACTACAAGCCTGTAGCGCGTAGCTGTGAGAGCGACACCACTCTGCTCAACAATCTGAACAGCTTCTTTGCACGATTTGAAGCACAGAACAACACACGCCCACAGAAAACACCACCACCTCCACACAACCAGCCTCTGTGCCTGTCTGCTGCCAGCGTGAAGAGGACACTCATCACCATCAACGCCCGGAAAGCAGCGGGTCCAGATAACATCCCTGGTAGTGTGCTGAAAGACTGCGCAGAGGAGCTGAAGAATGTCTTCACAGACATCTTTAACATCTCCCTGAGGCAAGCCACTGTCCCATCATGCTTCAAGACTGCCACCATCATACCTGTGCCAAAGAAACCATCCCCAGCCTGTTTCAATGACTACCGCCCCGTGGCACTGACACCCATTATTATGAAGTGCTTTGAACGACTAGTCATGTCACACATCAAATCCACCCTACCTCCCACTCTGGACCCATACCAGTTCGCATACAGAGCGAAACGATCCACAGAGGATGCAATCTGCTCTGCCCTCCACCCAGCCCTAACTCATCTGGACAAGAAACACTCATATGTGAGAATGCTGTTCATAGACTTTAGCTCAGCATTCAACACCATAATACCACAACAACTCATCTGTAAACTGGACAGACTGGGCCTCAGCACCTCCCTCTGCAACTGGCTGCTGGATTTCCTCAGCCAGAGGCCTCAAGCGGTGCGTGTGGGCAACAAGGTTTCAAACAGCATCACCCTGAGCACGGGGGCTCCACAAGGCTGTGTGCTCAGTCCTCTGCTCTTCACCCTGTTGACACATGACTGCACACCAACCTACAGCTCCAACCACCTTGTGAAGTTTGCGGACGACACAACGCTGGTGGGGCTCATCACCAAGGGCGATGAGACCCACTACAGGAAAGGGGTTGAGCTCCTGACCACGTGGTGCAGAGACAACAACCTCCTGCTAAATGTTAGTAAGACCAAGGAGATTATTGTCAACTTCCAGAGAGGCCACACCTGTCACCCCCCATTGACCATCGACGGCGCTGCGGTGGAGAGGGTGAGCAGCACCAAGTTCCTGGGGTGCACATCAGTGAGGACCTCTCCTGGACCACCAATACAGCATCACTGGCCAAGAAAGCACAACAGCGCCTCTACTTCCTGCGCAAACTCAAGCGGGCAAGTGCTCCACCACCCATCCTGACTACATTCTACAGAGGAACTATTGAAAGTATCCTCTCCAGCTGCATCACTGTGTGGGGCGGTAGCTGCACTGACTATAACAGGAAAGCTCTACAACGCATTGTGAGAACAGCTGAGAGGATAGTTGGTGTACCACTTCCCTCCCTGCAAGACATTTACACCACTCGCCTCACCCGCAAAGCCATCACAATTGTCAACGATGCAACCCACCCCGCGCACTGTCTGTTCAGCCTCCTGCCCTCTGGAAAGAGATACAGAAGTCTCCACTCCCACACTAGCAGGCTCACCAACAGCTTCATCCACCAGGCTGTGAGACTGCTGAACTCTCTTCCCTCCCGGCTCCCAGCCAGCAGAATCACCAGATTGGCAGAAGTATGGGAAGACAGACTGGACTCTA